CTCTGCAACTGCAGGCCGCTGTGCTCATCCGTAGGCAGTACCATGCACATTCTGGCCTTTCAGTGGCGGTATCAATCGAAAAAGCCATCTAGGCAGTAGGCACTAAATACTACCCGGTCGCTACATGGCCACACCGTCCATGTCCAGTCTGTTTATTTACTGTATTTACGGATCCTGAGACTTGGGAGTAAACTCAGTAAAGTATAGCAGTATGCTTAAAGTACAATTGCTGAGCTTTTGCATTTTAAGTTTTTGTGAACTGATAATGCGTTAATGTACCACTGTGCTCACTGCCGCGATAAGTGAATGACCGAACTTATAATTAATAGGTCAGACTGTTAATAAACAACCGAATAAGTGTATGCATCTATAGTAAAACAGGTACGAGTACTGTACGTTGTACAAGCCGGTCCGGATGATGAGCACGATAAAATACAGCGAAAAACGTAAATTAATGGGTTACACCAAAACGTACTCTAGTGTAGTGGCCATCGTGCTAAGCGCTAACAGCGCGCTCAGTATGCATCAGCTGTACCTTTATGCGTTCATCAGCTGGACCGGCGTGAATAAGAATGAGTCATCCTCTGAACAGTGTCAGCGAGCACGAGCATGTTGACGAAAAACGCTCAACTGGGTTTTATAGAACCACAGCTCAGTTGCTGCTGTTGTCGTCAGCGGCAGGGAAAAACGTTGCGTGCTTACTGCCAGGAACTTGAGGTTCAGCATTCTACACTTGAATTAACATTGACCTTGTTTCGATTCTGCCGTTGTGAATCCTTAATTACAGTATCTACTTATTGGGCACTTATTGGGCTTCCTGTGCCAGCTGTTCCACTGTCTGGACAACGTTTGAGATCGTTTATATTAACGCGCTATGCGTAGTATGCGCGTATTACGTACGTGTTATGACGTACGTGTTGTCAGTTCCGTTACGTACGATGTGCTGTTCTTATCTAACGCATTTGATCGCTGATTCCATCGACGATTCTGGTTGAAGGAATGAGTCTGAAGTTTCTAACTTCAACTAAATCTGTGAGCTTGTTTCTAGCTGAAAGGTCGTGTGACTCTAGGTTAGAAGGAAGTTCATATCTCGTTCTGTTCTGTTCTGTTTGTTCGTTCGGTTCGGTTTGGTGATTAAACATTTGGGAAGTTCCTGAGTGTTTTGGTTTCGGTAACTTTCGTTAGGCACAGCAATCCGCTCGTACCTAGCGGAAGTAGGCAGTAGTACCACTTACGGAGTCCAGAGCATATTCCCACTCTACCGATTGAGTAGGTTTGGTCATCTAGTGCGGTTGTCGCGGTGCGACTTCCGCATAGCATGTCATGGCGCCCAACGGATTTTAACAGCCCCTGGGAATCTGGATCGTCTGGTAAGTGGTACTGTTTTTTCAGCGTTTTGTGTGTTGTGTGGTTGTGTTGGTTGACCGCGTGGATTCTCAGAGAATCCCGTGAGGCAAGGTTCCTAAGTGAGAACCAGGTGCTTGCCCGCAGTGACCTTAGAGGGTTGCGCGAGGCACGGTTCCTAAGTGCGAGCCAGGTGCTGGACGGGAGTCCGTATACTGTACTCGTACTGGTAATTGGTACGGTGTGTACTGAGAAGTGGTGGCGTAAGCCCTGTTATTGGTGTAGCAGACTTACATCCGGGTTCGGTGACCTGGATTGCTTGTCTGTTGTTTGTGAAGCAGTTGCAATGGATGGTACAGTCACTGAACCATCAGCATTAACCGCTGAACATGAGGATGGTGTGGAAGAGCCATCAACGGGAAAAAGTAAACCGCCCCGTCGAAGAGGGATGATTAACGTTGACGAGTTTGAAGCCATGCTGAAGAAGGCGGATTATTTATCCCCGCCTACAGTGCAGTGGTTTCTACCAGAAGACGAAAATGTTGGTGAATTTTGTAAGAAGTGGGAAATTGTTCTCCCACGTACTGGAGAATTGAGTCAGGAGTGGGTAGAATATGATCTTAATGGTGGTAAAAAACCAGGTGGCTATGATCAGTGGATCCAGGCAGGAAGGAAGATCCCCGCCCGTAGAACGATTCATCTGACCCTGCATGATTACGATCAGCAGTATGGCACTGAACTGCATGAAAAATGGATGCAGTATCTTGCCAACAAAAAGCCTGTTCAGTCAGCAGCAGATAGCAGTAAAGCTCGTCCAGGGTCGGATGTGCAGCAAAGCGGCAGTCTGCAAGCTGCAGTCAATGAGGGCAATGCACTGTCTGCCAGTGGCTTGAGGTGCGGTACTGAAAAGGATACCGTGGTAATTCAACATTTGGACCTGACAGAAATGAATAAGGTTTTGGAGCAAATTAATAATGCTCCAGATTATTCAGCTGTTGTTACTCAAGATCATGATGATAGTGATGCGGAACTGGCTGCGGTAGATAATCAGCGTATTGAAGACGCTGATGTTCACTACAGTCAGAAAGTTGGGAAAGAAAGCGATGAGTCATCAACCGCTGCCGTAGTTGAACAGTTACGTAAAGAACTGGACGCGGAAAAGTTGCGATATCATGCGCTGGTTTTGAAGCATGATGGTTTAGCTGATAAGCATAATGATCTAGTTGATAAATACGACGGTTTGGTTGATCGTCGTAACGAGTTGGCTGATCAGGTGAACTTGCTTGGCATTATGCGTACTCGAGACGCAAAGTTGATGCAGGACGCGTTCGAGCACGTAAACAAAGAAAGTGAAAAGTTGCAACTGGAAAAACGAAAGTTCCAGTTAGAGAAGGAGCAGGCGCAAAAAAGTTTTCAACAAGGCACAGCTGCCTTGAATAAAAAGTATGCGAGTTTTTTGGCTGAACAAACAGCATTTAAAGTTGCTGTTGATAAGTGGAAAGTTGATCGGAATAGTAGACGCCATTCAGTAAGAGATGACGTCAACTTTGTCCCGCATGTCGAAGCAGATCGACGCAGCGTAGTAGTGCAGGATATGGCTGAACCTGTACGAAAGCTGTACAGCGCTGTTCATAAACCTGTCTTTGTGGTAAAGGATAACCACAAACTGGAAGATTTTCTGGAGTTACGTGAGCGTGCCCACAATTTGCAGGAATGTTTGGGTGAGTCGCGTAGTCCCTCACCAACGATTTCTGAAGTTAGCACGACTGCCTTGAGTAAAATGGAAGCAAAGGTTGCTGAACTTGATCGTCGCTTAAAAGAACAGGAGGCCAAGGGCGGTAGTACTGTTTCCGCTCCGTTCGACATGGATAAGTTTACGAATGCTATGAAAGGTGCATTTAGGACGGATACAATGTATCCGGAGAAATTTGATGGGAAAACGGATACAAATAAGGTGGAACAGTTTATCCAGAGTGTGGATAATTGCAAAAACCACAACAGTTGGTCTGATGGTGACGTCATTAGTAAATGCCTGTCGCGCTGTTTTACTGGTACGGCACTTACCTGGTATCTCGATAAGTATGATTCCAATAAGATGTTGAAGTGGTCTGAATGGAAGAAAATGATCCGGGAACATTTCTCGGATGAGAAAGATTTAATGGCCGTTCGTGATAAGCTTGCTGATCGTCATTTTAATAGTGACGATACACCGAACTCGTATGTGGACTGGTTCACTACGTCGTTCAAGAAGCTGGATCTGAACGAATCTGAACGTGTGTACTACCTGAAGCAGGGATTGAAGAAGAACCGTTTCTTTTGGTTCAAGTATATGGAAGAGAAAAGAGTGGCTGATGTCGAAGAGTTTTTGTCAGAATTGAAGCTGCAGTATAAACTGCGTAATAGTAACCCTTGTGCTGTTTACTCTGATTCAAAACAGTTCGCTGGCAGGAAGCCAGTTGATGCAGATACCAGTGCAGCTAAGGCTGCTAGTAATGAGGCGAAGAAGTCCGAAGGAAGTGCAGTTGATAATGGTAAGCAGGTCACCATTAATTACGCGAAGTGGTATTTTCCAGATGGACAGCCGATATGTTTTAAATGCCATGGTGCGCATGTTGGAAAAAAGTTCACCAGTTCGGAACCGCGTAAGCCGATTACAGCGGGACCGCCGGATCAGGTGATTAAGGCTTACATGTTGAAGAAGTCAATGGGAAAGAATCCCGAAAGTAATAGTTTGGGATCGTTCTTGATGCGTAGGCCGGAAGTAAATTCTTTCACTGTGCAAGTTAAATGTGCACAAGTTGCTGAAGGTGACGAAGCTTGCAGTGGGGGCGATGCCGCCCAGGTTAAGTTCTGCTCGGTACGCCATCCGATGGGGCGCTCGCTTTGCAGTGGGGGTGCTCAGGCTCGTGTGGATTGGCGTCGGAAGCAAAGTGGCAGTGCTTATGTGAAGCGCTTGAAGTTTCTGATCAAGAATCCCGAGGCAGAGATGAGTAGGGATGAAAAAGAGATCGTGAAAGGATTTCATGTTTATCGTGGTATCGTGTACCGTAGCAAAGGCGGTAGGTACGGTAGACACCGCGTAGTCGTACCGGAAGCTAGCCGTCAGGACTTGTTGCGAGACTGCCATGAAAGCTTTCATGCTGATAATTTGCATGATTATTGGTCAGTCCGTAAGTATGTTTTGCGGAACTATTACTGGCCTGGAATGAATGCTGAATTGTGGAAAATCGAAGCACAATGTGAGCAATGTAGTGCTCATGTTTAAGTTTTGGCTGCTACGTTATAAGTCCGCTGTTCTCTTGTCGGTGGTGTACTGACAGTATAAGTTGCGTTTACTCATAACCGCAGGATTTATCAGCAAAAAAAAGGGATGCTGATTGCTGAAGTGTCAGAAAGTTATAAAAACTTGTTGACTGGGGAAAAGAAGTACTTATTAATCGAGTACTGTGTTGTGCGCCGTAGCCGCCGGTGTGGTAGCTACGTGCATGGAAACGCTGTACTGTCGTGCGGCGTTCGACTGATTTGGAAATGACTTTTGGCTCCTTTCTGATTTCTGCGTTTGAGCAGTAAAACAATCTCTGTTTGATTTTGATAACTGGATGTTTATAATCCATTTGGGATTGAATCAATCATTCGAAAGTAATTGGATAATTTAGGTGGCGTTCTGTTTGATCATTGTTAAGAACCATGCTATCGTATCGGTTCTTGTGATCTATTTGTGATTGACTGTGTTCCATCGTTTAACTAAAAGTGCAGGCTTGCAGTGGGGGTAATTGCCAGTTATTAGTGGAAATTGAATATTCACTTTTTGGTGCACTGAAGATGCTGATAATGATCGGTATTTGCCCGTTCTGATCTGTGTTTTTGATTGATTGGCTGTGGCCTGTGCTTATCGGAATGCTTGCCATTTCTGATGTAATTGGCCTGTCGGATTGCGGATCCTCGAGCTCTTCGGAGGGAGAGGATTGATAAAAACCTTACCTGGATACGAAACGTTTGGATGGACTGACGATAAAACTGGACGCGCATGGAACGAGGAACTTCGGAGGACTTGGACGGAAAACAAACTCCATCAACTTGGACCTCCATTTGAACCCCCGTCACACCCCGGATTCCACACGCGAATGATGAAACGGATCCTCTAGGATTACGGTACTTCCTGGATTTCGATTTTCTTTGATTTGGGTTTGTGTTTGTTTGTTTGCTTTGATTAACGCGGACGTTAATTCTGTAGCAGTGGGGGTAACGCGCTATGCGTAGTATGCGCGTATTACGTACGTGTTATGACGTACGTGTTGTCAGTTCCGTTACGTACGATGTGCTGTTCTTATCTAACGCATTTGATCGCTGATTCCATCGACGATTCTGGTTGAAGGAATGAGTCTGAAGTTTCTAACTTCAACTAAATCTGTGAGCTTGTTTCTAGCTGAAAGGTCGTGTGACTCTAGGTTAGAAGGAAGTTCATATCTCGTTCTGTTCTGTTCTGTTTGTTCGTTCGGTTCGGTTTGGTGATTAAACATTTGGGAAGTTCCTGAGTGTTTTGGTTTCGGTAACTTTCGTTAGGCACAGCAATCCGCTCGTACCTAGCGGAAGTAGGCAGTAGTACCACTTACGGAGTCCAGAGCATATTCCCACTCTACCGATTGAGTAGGTTTGGTCATCTAGTGCGGTTGTCGCGGTGCGACTTCCGCATAGCATGTCAATATTTGTGTGCGTAGCTGGGCGGTCATCTTTGGTCGGTACGTGAAAGCTACCGAAGTCAGTCTAAGATTTCAAATCGCCGCAATGCATATTTACGAAGACCACACCGGATGCGTCAGGCTCGGTGCATGGAATGCAGTGGACGTTCTCGTCGACGGTGGGCTCCAGTACGGTCATATTACCAATGTCGTGGAAGGGGGACTCATCATCGATTTTGGCTGTGCTACACAGCGGATGCGGTTTGTTGAATACCAGAACATTTTCAACAGCCAGACTGCGAATTTCGTACATCCTCTTCCAGGAGAGGAGGCGCAAGTACTGCTACGCCATCGACCAGACAGTGCATGGGCATGGTACTCCGGAGCCAGATTGTCCGCTTCGACGGCCAACGGGAAATTCGTAGAGGTACATTTACCACATGGCACCACGAAAGAGCTTGTGCCGTCCAGTCAAGTGCGTCCGCTCGCCCTCTCACCTACAGTTAGCTCTTTTTCATACAATCTGCGAGTACGCGAAAAGGATTTCGTTGTCCGCTCCTGTTCGTTGCCGGCTGATTTTTGGTCAAGAGGATCGCGAGTACTGAGAGAGACCTTTAAGCATTTGTTGAATAGCGAACACAAAGTGCTGTGCACACTGCTTAGCCAGATGCTCCTTTACTTGCAACGCGGCACTGACACTCCGTTGCAGCCCGATACAGTGGTAAGACTTTTTGCGATGGAAGTACAAGTATGAAGTAATCCTCGTAGTTTTAGACAAAATTCGCACAAAAAGCAAATTTATTTTAGGAAACTGGTATCAGATTCAACAGAAAGATGCAACTACTTGTTACGCATTAGATCGAATCATCGCTTTTATAAGCTTGAGTCGTGACCGATTGTCATTGGCAGGAAGCGTTGTATCTGAAGGCGAAGGATTACGAGAAAATTGGTCGTACTCCACTTTGGATACTGGAAGAAACGGAGACCAAGGAGCCAGACAGAAAACGTAAGACTTGTGGAAAGCGCAACATCGGTCTGCCTCTATCAGTTGAACTGCTGGTGGAGATCTTCCAGTCACTTGACTCAATTAACCGTTTTCGCTGCCGCCGCACGTGTGGTCTGTGGAACCGTATTCTCACCACCGCAGCTTATTTCCCGGATGTGTGTGTGGTATGCTATGCCGAGGAAGAGGACTGTTTGAGTTCCGCTGTGAATGCATACTTCTCGATGGCGAGCTGCTTATTGAAGTGTACGGACACTCATACCAAGACGCTGGTTTTCGCCCACATGGACTGGCCTCAGTTGCTGAACGCTTCGTCAGTGTTGGAATCCGACATTTGCATTCCAAAAATAATCTTCTATCACTGTTCATTTGGAGAATATAACTTTGATTGGGGGTCTATGGTGGTGGACGAAATAGCCACTATGTGTGGAACCTTTGATGCAGTTGTGTTGAAGAAGTGCCATCTGAGCGAGCTTTCGTTATCGGCAACTATACTGCAGCACTCATTCTGCACACAGTCACCAGAGCGGCTACGGGAGCAGCTGTGGGATCTTTTTGAGAACAACCTTAATCTGGAGGAACCGATTAATCAGACAGCTCTGCGGGAAAAGATCGCCAACTGTACAGATTCCTACCCAATTGTGCCGGTGAGTACCAACCGTTTGCATTTTCTAGCTTCAGCCAGTAGATTTTTGTTTTCAGCCTGCGCAACCAAGAAACCTCTTCAAAATTTTTAAATAATCTAATTTTAAGACGGTAAACGGTTTGCTCGGGTGCGGTTCATGAATAACCTTCACAAGTTGTTTTATATCGCAAACTGGTAACGGTTTGTTTGCTTGCGGTTCATTATTACGAAACCTTTTCAGATTGATAATTCACCGCTGATGCGGCATCAGATTAATGCACTTTTTTTATGGATTTTCACAGATTCTTGAGACCTTTCAAAAAATTGACCCACGTTTGTCACTGCTTATCGTGGTCAAGAATGGACGGTATCTACAATTCCCAATCTGGATGTGAACAAGCTGACAAAGCTAACGCTTGCGGCTTTGAGTAAAATGCTGGAATGATTCATTGACCAGCGGTACAGGTGCTGTAGACAAGTTTGTATGAAGAAGCAGTTATTTCTCTACGAGGTAGCCATTATAAATACTTTTTTATGTTTTTCTGGTCCTGATCGGTTTCTGAGAGAATCGCAGCAGTGGATGATTGTTCTGTCATACCGATGGTTCAAATTTAAGTGGGCAAATGCTCGTATGCGAGTACACCAATAAAACTTGTTTAAAATTGTTGAAAAACAAACCTACTTCTAATATTATACCACGTTATGTTCTTAAAACAGCTGGCTGATATCTGCTTGCGACAAGTAAACTTTGCCTGACCAAAACAAAGGTGACGAAACCGGTCTACAGATTCAGATTGAACCGTGACCGGGTGACATTGTTATGAATTACAGACCTCCGTAAATTAGTTAACGTGCTAACTATCTTTATAATGATGATTCCGTCATAAACGACAAGCATCAGGTACGGCATAGGTACGTGCGTCACTGCGCATTAATGTCCAATGTCGACTACGGCATCATGCGACACACTGTGTGTCAGGGTCAGCCGCCGCGGCAGATGGAACAACGGCATCACGCGGAAATTGCCGTCGTTGCGACGGTGTTGAATGGCTCGCCAGACGATCTCCCGAAGATCCGGCAAGGATAGCGTAAAGATAATGGGATAGATTACCGCTTCCAGCTGGTACAGCATCATCAACCAGAAGACGGTCATGGGGTACTCATCGACTGCCAGAATCGGAAGTGCCACGGCCGCCGGCGTCCAACAAATGAAGACGGTAATGGTCACTATTGTTAAAAGAAGAAAAGCTTTGCTTTCGGCTCTCACGACAGGGCTTTTCTTCGTGGTAAGATGAATGGGACTGATCATGGCTGCCTACAATGAAAAAGAGCAAATGCAGATAGTTTTAACATCCGGGAGATCATGTAAAATGCAAGCTATTGTGTATCTTCAGTTGTAGTTTTACAGAATGCAATCTTGGCATATATTGCTGCGCTTTGCTGGGACATCTTGATGTAATTACAGTACAATCATCAGAAATACGAATTTTTTGTTACAGCGAACGCAAAAATTAACATTCTGTTTACTCTTTGCAGTACGTACTGAGGTACGTAGACTTTTGTGTGCAGTGCCCACATTTTCCATTTAAAAAATTATAAACTGAAACGTAAAAAATAAAAAAAATAAAAAATATAGCCTTATCTAAAATATGGGCCATGAAAACAGGTTATCAGCGCTTTACTGATACTTAATTACAGTATATCTATATACGAGTGCATATGTACTCGTATTTAAGAACAGTACAATACATGTACCTGTACCGGCGTTGTGATGTTCGCTAGATCTTTGCGCGATTCCTTGCATTCGCTTGCGACGGAAGTAGACAACCAGTGGATACTGACCAAGCGTTACACCCAGCGTAGCGAGTGAAAGACCCATGTAGAAGTATAGCCACACTTGCTGATAGGGCGACAGTGCAAAGTTCAGAACACACCCGGCTTCGGTTTCCGGTAGTCTGTAAACCATCGCGTCCACAACAACCACCGGTACGCCGATAGCATGACCGGTGATCCAGCAACTACTACATAGGGCAACTGCAATGCATGTGTTATGACGTTGACGGTACTGCACGGGGAAAACTATGGCGCAGAACCGGCTAATGGAGATCGTAGTGTGCAGCAGAACTGCGATTCCGGACAGCGTCCAAAAGGCGTACAAATAAAAGGTGCACCAGGAACGACCCCAACACCACATTGCGAACAGGCTGTTAATGGCGTCCAGTGGTCCACAGCATATCGCAAACGTAAAATTAGCCAGAAGGAGGGCAAAGGCGTAGACGTGAAATCCACGGCAGATATGAGAGTTTGCAATGTACACCATTAGCAAACTGCCATTCAGTAGAAACGTTGAAATCGTGATGGGCAGTGATACCGCAGGAACAACTGTCCAGGTTACCGGGTTGGTTCCCGAGGCACAAACGTCGGCAGTGAAGTTGGAAAATGAGCTGTTATTCGCCATTTCGGAAGTCATAAGCCAGTCAAAAATTTTAAAGGCAAACAAAATTATTTTGGTGAGGTGCCTTATGCAGGGAGGAAAGGTCACACCCTTCGGTGCACACTTTGAACGGACCAGATTTCGCGATTTATAAGGCATGATAATTGTATAAGTTTTTGTACCATTTGTACAAACCACGCGGAGAACCGCGACACTGAAACATAACACTCGAGAAAAAATTAGTCGTTTCGAGGCAAAATTAGGCAGCTCCGTGCTTATATTTTAATGGTCACCTAGGCTCTGTGCGAAAATTTAAAAACAGCCTCCAGCCCGCATGAGTAGTCCCTGAGACAATGTTACCAATTAAACATATGTCAATGCGGTAGTTAAGATCATTAGCCGAATTTCAGGTTTACCCGAAATTATTCAACGGAAACGAGCGCATCCAGACATCGGGCATTAAAGGGTATATCATAATTATTTGCGGTGCATAATGATTCCCATGCTTGTTAACACATGCAATGTAGCCCGAATGCATTAACTGACCTAATGGTGATAGCATGGCAAAATAAACATTACGTAGTGTAGTGTTATGCCTTGGTGATAGTGTCTCTCCTAACGCGGCATATCATATTATTCACGCATGAAACAAACATTTCAGTTAACGAGCTTTCTGCGAACCAAACCACAGCAGTCTTTATGATGGGCTGTGGTACAGTACAATACTTACCTACAATATATCGTATAGTGTTACAAAGACCCATTAAGAAATTATCTAAGGTGCCACTAAGGAAACATGAAAGACCGGGAAGTCTAGAATATCGTTATCCGTACTTCCATTATATAGAATCCGTTTTTCCTCTTTGAAGACCGTCCAAGAAACCAATAAGAGTACCCACGAATGAGAAATGCTGTAATGGATTACGGGAAACAGCTTTTGCCGGGTGTTTCCTAAAATTAATGCGCAGATTCGTAATCCGTTAGGCTTTCGTGGCTGTTATACTGACGAAGATGCAGAACGTTGCACTATGCACAGTCCGCAGACAATGAGATACATAATTTTAGGTTATCAAGACAATTGTAATGTTCTCCAAAATTTGATAAATAAAAGTGGAATAGGAACGAGTATACAAAACGGGCATACAAAACTCTAGGCTTTTTTTGTCAGTTTTCGTCATTTGGACAAATGGGGCGTAAGCTGCGTAACTGTTGTGCTTTTGTCATTATGATACAGTCTTCGTTGCTAGTTTTCATAAGAGTTTTCCGGGGTATTCCGGATTCGTCAAAGATTTTGAATAACACTATCGAATTTGGCTGTTTTTTAATGCTTTTAAAGTTTGAAGCATTTTAACGCGAGGCTCCCAGCGAGCGGCTCGTTTCCTTTGCGGTAACTCATATTACGCGGTCATAAGACGACGTAACATCGTACGCACCTGAAGATACGTCAGAAAAATGCTCCCGTGGATAACCTAGATTTAATTAAATTTAAAGTTACTAAAAAATGCACCAGTTCGTTTATGACGGTTTCTGCCGTCTTGGTTTTCAATAGCTTACAAATGGCAGGTCTCTTCCTTCCGTCAAAAGGTTAATCAGAAATTTAAATTCATATACAGTAGCCGAAACACAAACACAAGCTACTGTAACGTACTAAACTACTGTAAGGGCGGGACGCTCCGCCCTCCTGAGTAGCTATTCGCTGTTTCTGGGGATTTCCACCCCGCACATTGCTGCGCTGTTTTGACGGATCTGCAACACAGTTGCACTGGCTGCAGGATCCTTCCTCGTTAGTCTGGTGTTGCTGCGCCACGGTGCGCATTAGATTCGGCAATAAAGCCTCATCCGGGTTCACCGCTGTTCGCTGTCGAGGATACGCGTGGCGCCCATACGGCCCCGCGTTATACTACCAAAAAGATAATTGTACCGTGCGCAGCCAGATGCTACAATTAAGGCGATTGGCGATGCTGGGGCACAGATTCTGCCTGTCGCCTCAAAGTGTGTCCCGTAATACTTGTACTTTTCCATTTCACAAATTCCGATGTTCCATTCTGCAGTGGTACTGAAACCGCGCTTGATACAAATGCTATTGTTTAATAATTATCCGCTAGTTAATTTTATTAGGGCCGAGGGCGTAGTCTATTCAGCTTGACTACGATAGAAGTCAAACAGAAACAATGATTTCCTGCTACCAAAATCCATTTGGACGGTTGAACTAAGGCGCCGAGAGGCGGTGAGCTTGTGTCTCACCTGTCTTCTTGCAAACCGTGCAGAGCAAACGATAGCCCGCTAATTATTAATCCTTCTTTATTAATTTTCGCATGACGTATGTACAGTATGTGGTAATGTACATACTTATCTAATAAACTCCTGCTTCGTGTTTACTGGATTGACTCAGAGAATCAGTCTTTACTCTGTCGGCAACTGGCGCCAAAATAATGCACTTAGGCCTGGGCCATTCAGGGAAGCTCAGGGAAAGTGGTGAGCAATGAGCATCTAGATGAAGTAATGAGAATCTGAAATCGCCATTTATTACAGAATGCTGCAAATGCTTGCCCAGTGCTATCGCTAATGTTAAATTTTGCATGACATATCGAAAATCAACAATTCTGCATCTTTCTGGTATTTTTAAAAGCTCAGCATTCCACATTTTTAATATGCATTAATTCGGACATATGTTTTTGAAATGAGTGTGGCATACCAGATCTCCGACTGCAGCGTTAAAAAGCCAAAATCCTCCGTCCTAAAATCTTTCGTCGCCGTATGAGACGAAATATTCCGTTGTACTGCTTGGCTATGGGGCTTCCACCGGCATGCGTATACGAAATACTGTGCTTACTGTTTTGCTCCCGCGAAGGGTGCACGGTTGCTGCAGTGTGCACGGTGTAAACTGCATCATTACTGCAGCAAATCCTGCAAGGTCTGATAATCTTTACACTGTAACGTTATTGCACATTGTCACTACGTCCCGTCGTCCATAATAATGATTTAAGCGTAATTAAGCCCAGTTTATTTACAGACCGCTGACTGGAACAACGGACATTTTGTGGAATGTTGTGTACTAATTGACACCCAGCTACCTCAAGTCAATGATTATTGTAAGCAAAACTTTAGCCAAGTCATGTTAAGTTCAGTGGTAAGTGGCAACTCGGGTGGCAACAGTCGTACTCGTTAGAAGCATTCACAAGCGGTAGGAGCTAACGTTTCTGACGAATTTGTTTCCGGACAATAACCCGTATAACCCTTTTTAATATCAAAACGAACAGAACCGTGAACGACCAAACTGTATTTGTCATGGTTAATAAATTGAAATGGATTTTAGTTACAGTAGCGATTGTCAAATTTTCACTTTTTAGATTTCCCTGCCATGGTTATGATGAATAAACTCTCCATACGAATGCAGGTGATCGATTACTTGAGCAACAGTGTACTAGTATGTAATTTACTATTACGTATGGTTATAAATGGCTACGCCTCCATAGACTTAATCTAAAAAATGATAGCTTCCATTTAACATAAAAACCAAGAACTCTGAGCAGTACTACCGCGGTACATTGAATCTCGAGAATTACTAATTAAAGCATAAATATAAATTTTGACTGTAAAGCAGTATGCCGGCACTTGCACCTTTTGTTATTTTGATTGCTGTTGAGTACTGACTATTATAAAGATGTAGATTAAAGGTAATATGGATACTCGAGTACCGGTAGTTGTGTATTTGTTGAGCGCGAGCTGGTAACACAATCAGTTTATGATTGACATATATTTTAATTGCATATAATTATTATTGTAATTTCAAGGGGTCGATTGTCGAATGGTTTGAATAAGTATTGTAATACTTTGTGTTAATAATTAAAAACGCATTAATAAAATGGACTCTTTCAATGCGATTATTATGCGTTAGTTAAATACTACCTTCTTGAACGTGTGGTATACGAGAGCTGGAGCCACATCAACCCAAGAAATTCTGCTCATGTTTCCGCCCCATCCGCATCCGAAAATATTGGACGACTTCTATGCATGCCTCAGTTTCCTCAAGGTGTACTAGCGAAGTACTGTGCTTCAGTTGGTTGCTTTTGCGTATATAATTAGGTTTCGGCATCCTCTCATCGCATCGCATAAAAAGGCATGGTCATTTATTGCCCCTCCATCTACAACGCCTGTTTCTTCGTACCGGGAGTGTCTGAGCACCATTTTGTTTAACACCTTTCCGATTAATGAGACCGGTCTTAAACACACCAAAAACTGCAATTTCGGGGCGGGGCTCTTCTGGCCAGCGCAACACCGCCGGATGACGCCGGTGTGCTGGGATACGAACATCACCATGGATTTCATAGGACGAGAATTGATCGTGCATGCTACGCGAGATATACAGATACGTACCCCGGGGCTGTGTGATGTACGTAGGAGCATTTGTGCTGCATCCCAAAGGGCGCGAGGAAGACTCTGTTTATCGTGCTTTGTTTTCAGTTGCGCCACAACGAACTGTTGAATGATTTTGAACTTTATCACCTGACACGCACGGAACGCCGAAAAACATTCCAAGACATCTACGGCTATCCCTGTGAATGTCGCATGTGCACTGAAGATTACGTAAGTAACGACCTCGCAATTTTCTCGTAGCTTGTCTCAAACCGAAACATCATAATTATAATAAAATCATGCCATGGAAACGGCACTACTGGTGCTGCACCAAGTATCTGCTATGTGATTAAGCGGCCTATTTCCGCTGTCGCCGAGGCTGTATAATTCAGTAATGACTTTTGAATTTTGTGTGGAAAACTTTACACGTACAGCATATTGAATAAATATACAAACTGTAAAAAAGTCCTGTCATTGTAACGTAGCGATGAAACTTTGTATTATGTGCGAGATATATAAAGTACGAGTAGAAACAATTTGAGTTTTTAACAATTAACAATTGTTTGCTGTTACTTCCGTAACGAACTTCCGTAACGGACACATACATTTTTGCAGTGGTTCTGAATTAAGAGGACGTACGTTGCGTTCCGGTCGAAAATATGAAAGCGTTGTAATAATATCACGTACAATTTAGCGGATTAAGCATTACAATGAACTTTTTCGGGATAAAACAAGTCATAACAGTTGCTACTCGTATATTATCGTTTTTACAATACTTATTGATCTTGAGTACTTAATTAATCTTTCTGACTGTATGTCCGTGCTTTAATTTATGGTCAGTGCTATGCGCCCCGACAACCGGGGCGCAAAGCAAATTGGCTGTGCGCCCCGATCGGGGCGCGAAGTAAAATGGCTATGCGCCCCGTCAGGACGCGCAGAAAATTGGCTGTGCGCCCCGAATATTCGGCGTAAAAAATCGTGGCTAATTATGGTAAATTTGTTAGTACGCACTCACAGAACGGTCCAAAGGTTACCAGAATATTTACCTAAAGACACGTGACCTTGAATGCGCATAAATGTTTATGGCTTGTAGGACTGATTAGAACATTATTAACAAATGAATGAGACACTTATGGGGAAAGAAATCGGATGTACTGCAATTATCGAATTTTTATCACGGTGCGGCAAATGCGAAAGTTCAGACGCTCTAGTACAGGTGCGCTTTTTGTCGGGGAGGTGCCGTTACTTCGGCGGGTGCCACTATTTTTTAAACAGTATATTTTGTAGGGGGCCAATATTTTTTGAAACCAAGAGCGCATCCTGCTCTATAGAAACTGACGCTATAGTTGGTGTAGTTACCGGGTATATGGATACATGCAATTACACAATCACTTGCCTGCAGCATCCCGGGCATGCTGCATACAATTGCTTGCTAGCAAATTAGCAACACCACCACGTTTTTGGTTACGGTCTAACTAAGTACTAGTTTACTCCGCTTGACATTTATTAACGACGCAATATGCGGCAATTTCTGGGGTGCCCTAATTTTCAAACTTAACAGGGAGTTCGAGGTGCGCATATTACAGGAGTGCCCTTAATGGGTGGGTGCCACAAATTCAGATAATTCCGTATTGACTTTTTGCGTACTGTTACTCTATCATGGCGATTTGCGCAATGGATTCGGGTCCGAAAATGCATTTCGAAAGTGCGAAGGAGAACAATGGTGTACAGGAAATGATGAAGCCGGTTTACCTGCGCGAGTATCGGGAAGGCTCTAATACCATGAATGACAAATCCAGCCACGAAAAAAATGAAAATTTTGGCGGCAGAAGTTATGTTAATAGTGAAACACAAAAAATCGTGCAAGATTATCCACTGTAGGTACAAAGTGGTCCAAGTCTTTAAAACCCTTGAAACCTTTAAAACCTTTAAAACCTTTAAAACCTTTAAAACCTTTAAAACCTTTAAAACCTTTAAAACCGCTTTTCGAAAAATCACTATCAAACTATACATTAGTAAAAACCATTAAAACCTTAAAACCGCTTTTTGAGAAATCACTGTCGATCCGATGTATTTATTAAATAAAACGTTTGGTTTTATTAGTTTTAATAGTTTTAAAATTAGATTTGGACCACTTTGTACAAGCTTGTCCGGTAATTTCTGACGAATCAGTACAGCGATTTACACAAATTTGCGTGTTACGCCAAACTTCACACTACGGCGCGCCACGCCACACCGTTTAAACACGTAACTTGCATGTGGCTGGCTGGTGGCTTGGTACACGCCATATAATTTAATGAGAATAATAGTAACTGCCTGGCAGAAGGTGGCTAGAAATTGGTCGGTGCAGTAAGCGACAATCTGACTGCGGAGCGCACTTAAGGAATTTGATGAACGTAGTGAAGTGGCCATCGTTATAAGCGCAAAATTCGCGCTAGCTGTACCTTTACGTAGGAAATTACCGGACAAGCTTGTACCTACCCTCAGATTATCGGTGTTAAAGGTTAAATACAAAAAATTCATGGCGCAGAGCAGCGTAATGCCGTGGTCACAAATAGTAATTAATTATTATATCAGGGGCGCACAGCCAATTTACTCATTTACTTTGCGCCCGGTATACCGGGCGCATAGCCAGTTTACTTCGCGCCCTGATTGTCGGGGCGCACAGCCATTTCGTTAATTTATTCCCATACCACAAAATCATGGTATAGGTACCACAAGTTGTTTTCATATTGTTTCTGCTCGTGAGAAAATATTTTTTCATGCGCATAGGAAGCGGAAATCAACCCTCTTAAGTGCGGCACTGTTGGTTGCACGGAACGACTTCCCAGTGATGACCGGACTCTGTCGGCATGCCCCCACTGTGGCGCTATCAACGCTGATCGCTTAGCGCAGTACCGGAGGTTCATGGCGGACTACCACAACACCATTCTGTATATCACAGATAAGCAAGACAAAAATGACAAAAAAACGGAACTCTTTTTGGAGATGGAAGACGCTGGAATTTTACATTCCGATGCGCATATACGCTTCGTATGCCAGCCATACCGCGGATGCCAGAAATGGCCCGGGGGAGACGAGGAAAAACTGCATATCCTGTTGCAGGAACTCATCGTATGCGTGCGGTAATTGCCATATTATAGTTCCAAACCGGTAGCATTTTCTAACAGATTTTAAAAAATTGCAGAAAGCTGTGCCCCAAGTGGGATGTATGGCGTGCTCACCATATGCTGCACACCAACTCTTATTTATTGAAAAAGGGAAATGGGGCCGGCGACTTAATTGCTATGCTCTCTTTTGCGCCCTGCAAGAGGGGATTCCAAAGCCAATATAAACGATGCCAGTCCGTTAGCGCTCGAGCTGGCCAAGGAAGCACATGAAATTTTTACAAAACTCTGTGGTGCGAACTCACATTTTGCAAATCGCACTCTGGGGCAGGTTAAGAACGTTGAAGCAAAAGTCAAACACAGGATGTTTAGCTTGGAAACAGTCCTCCGTAAATTGTCTGATAAGATTTACTTGATCCGTTTCGCCGGCAGGAAGCTCCGTGAAATTACCGGCGAATCTCGATCAACGGCTTTTCATAGGCAACGTTTAAGTCTAGCGGTAGTCACAGGAAATGCAACGGCGGTTTTGTGCACATTTAGCGCACGTTATAAAATCACTAATGACACTAACGATTTTGGATGTTTTTCGAATGTTTAAATTTTGATCATTTTACATAAGTAGTATAAATCTGCGCAGGCTTATGTGACGTGAGTACTGGCCGCTGCCGAATAAAGTCACCATTTGCTCGATCGCACCAGAGTTATGTTTTTATTTTACTGTGCGTGTTTTCATACGTGTACGTGTTTTTTATCTTACTGTTCTTGTTTTCCCGAAGTCAAATGACTAATTTACTGTAGATCAGGTATCTGTACAGCTGTGTCTTTTCTGGATCATTATTTAAATCTTTTCACATTCTGCTGATATTGAGACTCGATCTAAACAGTACACGGTCACTCCAAAGTAAATCAGGCCGGAAAACGGCATTGAAAGTGATAAGTCTAAGGTAGGTCACTGAGCATTTATCTGTTAATTACTTTTAAATCCTCTTTAAACCGGTATATTTTTATTTGGAACAGGAAATTGAATGAATTGTTGGGAGCTAGTTGTAGGGGTTCAAAGCAGTTTGTGTGGTACTGCAACGAATTATTAACTAGTGATAACATGTACAATCCGAGTGCCCACATAAAGGCATCGGAATACTCTGTGCATGATACTTGAAATTTTTAATAGTTAATTGTAGTATAATGCAGCTTGGTGCACCACCAGCGGCAAGTCGCGATGCTGCCTATATTTTTTTGTATGCGAAATGTTTCGGTCGCAATAACTGTTACGATATGCTGCGGTTATATAAGCCATGCAATCTCCTAGATTGAGATTTATTCGGATGTATTTCGTCTGTATATTGTACGTATTTAACACGAGAGTAGAGTGAGCAGTTACATACAAAAAAAGCTCTACGTATAGCCTTTTGTCCTTGCGCTGAAAATTCATTAACGGTGTATCTGTGCTGCGGAGTAACTTTCCTGCTATTAAGCGCCAACATTGAAATGCGTTTTGATGCGTTTTAATGAAAGTATTGTTTAATGACATTGCGTTTTAATGAAAGTTTCTGGAATATCCCTTCCGTTGCTGGCTTATGCAGAGTAATCAGAATGCACCAATGATCAACGGGTCATCTCCTAAATTCCTAACCTACCCTAGAATTTTAGAACGTGCACAGTATAAAACCGTTTTGCCATCAAACGAGTTTTCTGCGAATCAAACCAGTCTAAGCATTCATGATAATTTTTATGAACTGCTGCGATGCGTACCTACTGTATGTGTAAAGAAGACGCAGTGACGCGGTCACAAAGAGCCATTAAGAGTATGATCTAGGGCCGCAAAGATCCTCTGATACTATGAGATACGGTGCAAAAACCCAAAACAGTGGCAGTGAAACCCAGAACCGTATTTCCATTAAACTGAAACCGTTTGTTTTCGTTGAAGACGGTCCAAGAAACCAGTTAGAGCAAAGAGCATACAAAGTTCGTAGAACCATCGACAGACGATAGAACCATCGGCAACGATCTTGCCCAGTTTCTCATTAGTTTATCGCATGCCTGTTTCAGTCCGGTCATTTCCTTGGTCTTCATCTGTCCACCGGCATCAGTGTGCACCACAAAGAGAAGATGACCCTTATCTCGCACTTGTTTCCGTTAAGGGAAGTAAGCGGCGTATGTCGGATGGCGCAAGCTGCATGGTATCGGATCTTGTCCAGCCAAAACGCACTGTGTCTGCCTTTTGCCGCAATCGTATTAGTGCTGGGATTATTCCCAGCATGCCCAAATTGACACCTAAACGGATTCTGAATCTGCTTATTGATTCTAAAAGAAACATCTGGGAAAACTGTGTCCCATGCTCCGTTACAAATGCAACATTCCGTATTCGTTGGTAACACAATCTGAAAGCCCATTGATAAAATTTATGTTCTTTGCAGCTTCGGCTGCTATTCGTGTGTTCATTTTCGTAAGATTTCTAATATTTTTGGGAGTATTGTTGTTAGAGGGATCAGGCTTGTGGATACCCTCACCGGTCCAAAAGTAACGAGCTGCCCGACCAGACGAGCAGTGGCAGTCCGAAGCGCAACTTCCGCCGTTATAATAGCTAACCAACGGCATTACCGCTTCGGTACAAATCTCTTCGTTTCGACAAAAGATCATTCAGAAATACAGCATCTATATGACCAAAACACAATATTAAGCGACAATATTAAGCGACATGAAGCGACATTAAGCGACATGAAGCGACAATATTAAGCGATCACGGAATGTAACACCTGGGGCAGTAAATTTAATGCAATATGTTCGAAACGTGCTACTAAAATGACTAAACTATCAAAATGTTGACTGCACCGAGCGCAGCGAGGTGCTACAGTTACAAATTTTTTCTGCCTCCTCGAAGTGTGTTGCGAATATGTTAACTACAGATATTTCACAAACTCCACAAGTTAGAGATGGCAGCGGCCGTCTAAACGGCTGACCTTTCGGCTGACGGCCGGCTGACTCATTGCGGCTGATGCTCCCAGCCGGCTTAAGCAGCCGGCTTGGGATCGGCTATGGCTTGCAAAAATCCTCAGCCGGCTCTCGGCCGGCCGCTGCCATTTCTACCACAAGTTCCATTCTCCAGTGGTACGGAAACTGCGCGCTTTGCTACCGTACGCATATTATCGGTTGTAGAGCAGGAGGTAGAAAGTCATGCACGACAGCAAACACAATAATTACTATTTTCTGTGCAAACGAAGTCCAGTTGGGCGGTTCAAATAAAGCATAAGCGCCGGAGGGGGTGAGCTTCTGTTTCGGCAGTCCTGACAACCAGCTTTCTTGCTATGACCGTGCAGAGCAGAGCAACCTTCCAGACAACAGCCACTAATTATTGACCCCTCTCTATTTCGCAATGACTCGTGAGTGATATTACATCTCTACGAGGAGGAGCTACCTTGGCCCGATCAAAGGCATACGCCCGACCATAAACCGATCACTGCTTCCATGTTTGTGCAACACGGCTTACTACCCAGCGACGGCAGCCTGCCGCAACAGCATGTAAAGTTTGACCATTCGTTTATTATCTAATTCGAACACCCTCTCTCCTGTATCCTTTGAAATCTTGTTCAACTAATATTCAAAAATTTGGAAAAAAAGGAGACATGCAGATATGTTATATTTCTACCACGAGAACCATGTCAGTTTTCCGTAAATGCAGGCACTTTCTTGGACCTGTTGACCGAAGTCCTGTGCTATGTCTGTGAGAAATTCCGCCACTCGAAAGTTTCTTGGTTTGCAATGGACCAGCTCCTAACAATCTGCTTAAAATTTTCTGTTTCCGTAATATTTTTAAACATTAGTTGGAAAGTTTGAAAAGGAGTGGAAATAGCACGGGGTGTAAAAGTTTTAATGAACAACAGATGTGCGTGCCGTACGCTGCCATCGCAGGGCGGCGAAGCCGTGTACGAAACCACGTGGCTCTGCGTGTACAGACACGGGCACAGTGATCGGTTTATGGTCGCGCATATGCCTTTGATCGGGCCAAGGTAGCTCCTCCTCGTATATATAATCGCGTAAGCCTTAATCTTTGTTGAGTTCGTCAGCTCGACGCACTGATCCAAACTGGCGTGACGATGTATATTTGATAGCATTTAAAGTGTAGATTTGCCATCACAAATCAGTTTTTGAAGAAAAAGTTAAATTTGAGAGAAAACTATCAAAAACTTTGACATGCAAAGTCTATGGGAAAAGCCAAGAACCCACCACTGCTAAACCGACCACCCCATCACTGTCTCAACAGCTAATACTGTACGCTTTTTCGACAGTTTCGCACTTTCGCGAATTTCACGTCCTATAACAGATACTCACTGTACTAACAATAAGTTTATATTTTTCATCAAATTTTTGTTTTGAGAAGGAAAATAAAACGAAAGGAAGAAGGCAAACAGGGCTGAGAAATGAGAAGATTCTGGGCTGGGTACGGTTCTAAAGTCTGTTTTCAAGTACCTGACACCCGATGTGGTTTGTTTTGGCTTAACTATATACCGTAAAGAGCCTTCCCGGGCGGACGCGCTAAATTTTTCGAAATTTGCTACTTTATCGTTTTCGATAAAAAAGGCAAGGTGGTGTTCGAGAAAGGCAAGCGGGTTAATTTCGAATCTCCAGGTTTTGCTTTGAAGAACAGCAAGCAGTTTACTCCGCATCGTACGCATGGGCTATGCGAGGATATTAGCAAACCATGGTAGCGGTGGTACCATTGTTTTAAGCAAAAATTTTTTTAACAGCAGATTCGAAATCAGCGTTATTGATTCACCTAGAAAAATTTTCAAACTGTAGAAAGCACCTTTTTTTGGATTCGACTCTCTTGCTACCACCCACGGTATCTGTAGGGTGCTTGGGCCCCGGCAATCAGAATTTCATTTTGACCTTTTCCTGTTTTGAAGAATGATTTCTAGATCAGAAAAATGCACTGAAGTTAATGCTGCGGTTAGTTTTTGCTTAAGACAAATTAAGGGTACCACCGCTACCGTCGTTTGCTAATATCCTCGCGTAGATCATGATCGTACGTGCTGTTTGCAATAAATAACGTTTGATACGTACATTTTAACGTAAATCGACCACAGTGCAGCTACTGTATCTGTATTCTGTACAATGTAAAAATTATGTTCCGTTTAAGAACGGGTGGAGGGGAGTTGGATGTAGCACGAATTGCATGATATAAGTTTAAAGTTGGAATGCTTCATTATTAAATTACAAGGTACAAATAAGTTTTTCATTGTTCGCTATACAGCGTATTGGAAGGCGGAGCCGCAGGCGACGCCGAGCTGCGGCGCGAGCTGAGCTCGCGGAGCAGCAAGCATGCCAGTGTAGGGATGGCGTATAGAGTGTGTGCTGTACTACTGCGTCCGTACAGCTTCTTATCTGTTCTCTGTCTTTCCATTGTGTTCTGTTGCGTTGTGTAGACGCGGATGTGATTTCTGATATTTTGTTCTTTTGCATTCGATGTTTGATCATCTCACGCATGTGCAGCCTCAGCCGCTTGGCTTGCACGCCAGCGTCAGGGCATATTCCCTTCATGGTAGCAGATCATGTTACGATTCTACGGTGTAGCATGGTGGTAGCGTGTGCAAAGTGTGCACTGAACTAGTTGACCTTTAATGCATTTATAAATGATTGGGAACAATTGCACATTTATTTGCCGGACTCCCAAACCGCAACAGATCGGAAGGAGGAAAACCAGGCCATACGATTCCCGGGTCAAAGCAGCGGATGCTCAGCCATGCGAAAAACCGTCATGAATTCCGGACACGTCCGAAGAAGCCCACAGGAATCAACGAAGGATTGCCCATCGACGCACGCAGCCCGACTCCAATCGACAACGGATCCATCTTCCGTGCGATTGCCAACGAGAAGCCAGCAGAGGACCAGACACGACCAAGCAAGATACGTGTTTCCATAATTTTTATGCGCTGTACGAAACAGTGCCCCAAACCTCTGCCCGAATTTCCAGAAATGCTGACCTTTACATCACGCAGAAAATCGCAACACGCGCCAGAATTCTGCAGATTTCCTGGTATTACCTGTATCAGCAGTCAGCAGAGAGCGACGACCGAACAATGGAGTCTGGGTCAAACAGTCACGCGGATACAGCTCTAAAGCTAGATCCAGAATAGATCCAGGAACAGAGACAGAAACAGAATCTATCCTGCGGAGTGAGCTATGCAGTATGGATAGCGAACTACGCGGAAACACGAAACGTCGCACTGCTAATAGCTGACTTTTAATATTGAAAGTCTGGAGAACAGAAAATCAACAACTGATCGGCGCAGCTCGATCGTAAAACGTAGAGCCAATTCAACAGCGTGCAGCGCTGTGCAGCACGTGCTATGCCGCGCCCACTATCAGAACGCAAGCCAATCACAAGAGACACAACACAGACACGTAGTCCAAAGGCGTAGCGCCACAGGCGTAGCGCCACTGACGTGAACGCTAGTGATCCCGGTCTCACATGCCTCTGGGGGGATGCCGAGCTCCTGTGAGGCTGGACACACTCCCGGATCCACGAGAAGACGACGGTCGCCGGTGTCTGTGTGCGCTCAAAAACATCAAATTCTCTTAATCCGTTTATCATATCACATCAATTCCATAAGGCACAATTCCATTTAATACGATGTGAATAAAGAGATCCGATTATAAAAATACTATCAGAAAACAGATCAACAGTTAAACAGATCAACAAAAGTATTAATCAAAATGTAGACTAGGATCCTCCATTTCTGACTCGTAAAGGTCACAGGTCCTGTCCACCGTTTCCCGCACTTTGGCCCATTCCGCTCCGTTGAGCAACTTCGCGCATCCATAATGCGACTTCCATCACAATCCGCTTTGAGAATCGGGTGCGTATCAAGTACGACTTAGGAATACTGCTTCATCTTTGGAATATGGTGCGTATCAATTGTACGACTTAAAAATGAGATCCGTTAAAGGTCATGGAGGGACGTCGTGTAGACAAGCGTAATTCGCTTCCTCCCTGATAAAGGTCATCCTTTATTGAGATGATCCGTTGAGATGTGCGACTCGTTATGGGTTAATGGTCCCAAAAGGTCATGCGACTGGAATTCCGGTACGGTGACTCTCTTGGGCGGTAATGATCCCAAGGGTCATCCAACTTTTCTTCAAACTTCCATTAAAGGTCATGGAGGAACTTAGCCGATTTTTGCCGACTTTCAAGCATTTCTTCGCTTGCCCCCCTGGTAAAACTTTAAGTTGACCTTTCCGTCGCACATCCCACTTCAATATGCCTCGAGCGGCCAGAGTGCCGGCAGAGTTTACCGTAACATCTCTGATGGGGCCGGCTAACTACCGCATTAAATTAACCCCATGACGCTTCCACATTAAATCTTTTACTCTTGTTCGCCGCTTGTGGCCCAGCTTCCGTACGAGAGATCCGGCTTGATTACCGTTATTTCTCTCGTTAAGTTTTGACACTGAATCGCTTAAGGAGAGTGGCCGGCATAGTACACCGTAGCGTCTCTGATGGGGCCGGCTAATAGACCGAATCAAATTTAACCCCAATAATATTTCCACCTGTTGTCTTTCTCTTTTTCGCCGCTTATGGCCCATCTTCGTCTTCAAGAGATCCGGCTTGATTACCGTAGTTTCTCTTGCTAATTTATAACACTGAGTCGCTTAAGGAGGAGAGCCGGCTGACTGCCGTAGCAACTCCTTTGGGGCCGGCGTAATAGACCGAATCAATTTAAACCCCAATCGCTGCTCCACATGATTTCTTTATCCTTTGCGGTTCTGTGCTATAAACGCTGAAAACAACAAATACACAAATACAGTTTATGTAGACAAGTCATATCGCCCTCATATACAACACCATTTTTCATTTTTGTGACGTACCGACAAATGCCGTAGACGTCCTTTTAATAGTGTGATCCTAACGACCAACACTATTCCATTTCATTTGAATCATCTTCGCCGTCTCTCGGCGGACGTTTCTTAGTGCTTTCCGGTTGATTACGGTCAGATGTTCGGTCGACTGGTTCTGTTGAATCAACCGCCATGACCTTTTCCAGATCAACTTCTCGCTGACCGCGACCTTTCCCTTGGCGGCTGCGTTTAACCGCCTCTACCCGGTGGCGTGCGTCATTTTCTTCCAGTCGCAGTCTTCGGTTATTAGGGTCGTCCGCCAGTCGCCGTTGCACATCAGCGAGGTTATCGCGGAGTCGCTGGTTTCTTAGGCCGCGTCGTCCTATCTGGTTAGGGGCGCGTTCTGGGCGTCGGTCGCCTTTATTCACCAGAAATTCGTTGATGTAGACGTCTACTCCGTCCATTGGTTCAACATAATCGCTTCCCATAGTATCTTTGATCTTATTAATCCGCTCTTCGACCTGGGAGGCATGGCGCTGTGTAAGGTTTCCCTTTTCCCTTCGTGTCCTACACTTTTTCAACGCCTTCCGAGCCGTGTGGGCTATTCCAACATGTTCCATAGGCTCTCCCAACTTAACCACGTGAGGTCGGAAAAGTGGCGGGATGTCGTCCTTCATTGTGTTGGAAACCAACTGGTTCTGTGTTTTATAGTGTGCCAATCTCGCAGCGAAGACCTTCTGCCCCATCCTTTTTGCGGCATGGTCTGTGGGATCCACCTGTAATCCGATCGATGCTCTAGCTGCAAGTAACTTGAAGGCCGGATTCACATGTCGTAGAACGAATTGAGCCACATATTCTTGTCGTTCATCATAGTCTGTGTAATAAAATTGTGTCATCCCGACTGGGTCAGTCGTGTCCAATGGCACATCCAATAGGCTCAAATCCAGCAAACTGTGTAATCCATTTCGTCGGATGGGGAGATAACAATCTCGCGCAGAGTCACGAGGAATGTATAGTCGACGAAAAGTTCCTTCTTCCACTCCCCTCTTAATCTCTCTCGCGTACCCAGAATCGAGTAGGAATTGGCTCAACTGTCTCAGAATTGTGCCAATTTTGTTGGCTTCAACCGAATCCGGCTCAAGTCCAAAGTATCGACAAATTTCGACCGTTTGCTCATCGATATCAGTCGTCTTATATTCCATGTCAATACTTTCTGGTTGTCGGTTATTAAATCTGGAGTTTAATCGCTGATCCCCTTGGCGACGATTATCCGGTTCGCCTTGACCTTCCAGTTCGCGTCGGTCTGCTGATGCTGGCTGCGACGGTTCATTACTCGTCGATGAAGCCGGTTGAAGGTCACTATCCAAGATTACATTTCGTCGGTGGGTCACATTCTCTTGAGACGTGGTTTCGACAACTGAGCCAGTACCTTCCATCGCGTCATCTTCTTGTACGGTACTCACGATGGGATCCACTACATGAACCACTGACTCCACCCGCTGATACTTTGGGGGTGAATCTTCCCGTTCAGTGCTTGATGACCTTTTATTTGCGCCCGAGTCAAAGGTCGCGTAGAATGCAGCCCTCTGTTGCCATCTTTTATCGCGTGGGTCAGGCGTTCGATTTCGCGTATGTTCGCGTCTTTTATCCCATGACCTTTCGGGTGTTGACATCCTGACGTTACGATTACGGAAAGCAACTTCCGTCGGCACCTGATGTCCTTCCTTTTCAGGTTCTGTACGGAATGTCTCCGCACGCCGTTTGTCTTCACGTTCTCTGGTCGCTGCCAGTAACTTCGTTGTGTCGATCTTCCTCTGAATGCTCATCTCTGTTACTTCGTCGCCGTGGCGTACCCATCCTCTTCCGCCGCGGTAATCCCTGTCGCGGGAACGTTCGCGTGACCTTTCACGGTGGTAGTCACGTGTCCTTTCACGAGAGTGTTCACGTGACCTTTCGCTCCGTCGTTCCGAAATCCGTTCATGTTCACGTGAATGTCCGCGTGACCTTTCTCTATGCGGAGGCGACCGTGGCCGTATGAAGCCTTCATCCCGTTTGAAGCTTCTGAGTGCTTGCAGCACATCGCTTTCGGTTCGGCGAGATTTACGTAGGTCATCCATACGTCTTTCGACTTCCTTCTTTATGTATGGTGCCGGCGCGAACCCGTCTTGCAGTCGTTTCTTCTCCCGCAACAGCATTTTGAATATCTCGTCTGACATAGCGGCTGGATCCTTCGTTAACGTTTCAATTTGAATGATAAGCGACTGTCGTACGAGTTGCATTTCGTCTTCATTAAGGCTGGCCGTGCCCGTAGGTGCAACTAAACTCGATGTGCTGGGCAGCCCCTCTCGTGCGGCCTGTTCACTTGCTCTCTTATTTTCCGCATTAATTTTCGCGCGGATTTCGTCTTCCATCTGCTGAGCTCGCATCTTCGCTTGGTCTTCTTCAAATTTCTTCCGATACGCGTCTGTCTGTGGACACTTCAACGGCTCCAAGGTGTCATCCCAACCAGGTTCGTTGTTCCGGATCGCTTCCCGGTAGCGATCCTCGAGTAGCATTCGCTCTTCCATTGGGATGCTGCCGTAGTTCCTTGCGCTTATCAGATTGCGGAAGACATCCAGGTTCCCGCGTTTGGCTTCCGAGACTCCAACAAGTGCGACAATATGTGGGTCATCCAGCTTGTGAATGCATGCGTAGCACGGAAATTTCTTATCAACCTTTTTGTTATTACGTAGACAGTCCGGACACTTTGGATTGTAGCCCGTAAACCGATCGATGTCTGCCGCCGTTCCCGTACGTTTAGGAGTGGCTTGACCTTTCTGTGCCATTTTTCCGCTTCAATCTGTAATTACAAAACAATCCGTCATATTAACTTTTCCACGTTAATCCTTCCATTTCCTATCCATATCAAGGCTTTTCTATCATTTTTACGCCTATTCCGTTACTGAGCTGAGACTTTCCTAGCTCCTGCTGCCTTTTTCTATCACTGTAACGTGGTGACCTTTCTCACGTTATCAGCACTTTCTGACTACTGTGACCTTTTCTATTAGTCCTAGTACTGCTTTCAGTTGACCTTTCGTAACACTTTTTCGCTTTCGTTTTAAACTGTTTTATGCTTTTTCTGTAATATGCAGGGTTCATTACTCGCTGCATACTACACTCGATTAGTTCACTCGGATTCTTTCATCGATGGTTTATACGGCTTGAAATCGATTCGGCCATCTGGCTTAATATGAAGCACTTCGTCCGCGATCAAGGCTTCAACGGCATTCTTAATCCACTCTTTATCGCTTTCAATATTCAAATCTCCCAATTCGTAATTGACGGCCATGAAGTTTGAAAGGTCATTCCATGACGCTCCATTGGTACCGCCAATGGCGTCCAAAGCCACGTCTGTGATGGCTATCTTCCAGGCCTCCAGTTCCATTTTCAGTCTGGGCGTTCGTTCCGTGCCCTGTTTCGGAAGGTAGTAGACGACTTTGTTGTCCTTGTTGTATTTACATCCCAACTTTCCTTCCTTATATGCTCGTTTCAGAGCCCGTTCAGTCATATTAAGTGACGACCTTCCGTTCGTATTTATCGCCACTTGTCTTTTCAGGTCTGTCCCAAGCATTTCTTTCTCCCGAATAATCTGGAGTGCGTTCTGGACTTCGTTCCATGTACGATTATTCACGTCCAATGCCGGCCCTAACATGTAATCTGTAGCCTCCTTTGCCGGTGTACCGCTACTTTTCTGGGAGGATGTCGAGTCCGTTGGGTCAGCCGTCGCTGTCTCGTCGATCCTCAGCTTTGCCAGTGATCCTGATGATGACCCCGCCGATTTTGGTTCGGCTGTCTTCTTCTCCTCCTGTGGCAAAGTCTCTTGACCTTTTAAATCGCCGACCGACTTCGATCGTTCCTTCTCAAAGACGTCCTTTAATGGTATGAACAGTGATTTGTGAAACACCTGGCGCGCCGAATCCGCTTCAGCTTCTGCCGCTGCCTTATCCATCGGGAGCATGACCTTTTCTTTCTCCCGTTTATCTGAAGTTTCATGAATTTTTGGTTGATCATCTGCGGTAGTTCCAGATGTTTCTTGACCTTTCGGCTGTTCGCCTTTTTCTGTCGCAGGTCCAGACGGAGCCGTTGTTGTAGTATCGTCATCACTTCCCGATTCCGAGTCCATTGGGCCTTTTGTCTTCGATGAAACTGGGACCTTTTCCATATCCGATCAAGGCTTCAACGGCATTCTTAATCCACTCTTTATCGCTTTCAATATTCAAATCTCCCAATTCGTAATTGACGGCCATGAAGTTTGAAAGGTCATTCCATGACGCTCCATTGGTACCGCCAATGGCGTCCAAAGCCACGTCTGTGATGGCTATCTTCCAGGCCTCCAGTTCCATTTTCAGTCTGGGCGTTCGTTCCGTGCCCTGTTTCGGAAGGTAGTAGACGACTTTGTTGTCCTTGTTGTATTTACATCCCAACTTTCCTTCCTTATATGCTCGTTTCAGAGCCCGTTCAGTCATATTAAGTGACGACCTTCCGTTCGTATTTATCGCCACTTGTCTTTTCAGGTCTGTCCCAAGCATTTCTTTCTCCCGAATAATCTGGAGTGCGTTCTGGACTTCGTTCCATGTACGATTATTCACGTCCAATGCCGGCCCTAACATGTAATCTGTAGCCTCCTTTGCCGGTGTACCGCTACTTTTCTGGGAGGATGTCGAGTCCGTTGGGTCAGCCGTCGCTGTCTCGTCGATCCTCAGCTTTGCCAGTGATCCTGATGATGACCCCGCCGATTTTGGTTCGGCTGTCTTCTTCTCCTCCTGTGGCAAAGTCTCTTGACCTTTTAAATCGCCGACCGACTTCGATCGTTCCTTCTCAAAGACGTCCTTTAATGGTATGAACAGTGATTTGTGAAACACCTGGCGCGCCGAATCCGCTTCAGCTTCTGCCGCTGCCTTATCCATCGGGAGCATGACCTTTTCTTTCTCCCGTTTATCTGAAGTTTCATGAATTTTTGGTTGATCATCTGCGGTAGTTCCAGATGTTTCTTGACCTTTCGGCTGTTCGCCTTTTTCTGTCGCAGGTCCAGACGGAGCCGTTGTTGTAGTATCGTCATCACTTCCCGATTCCGAGTCCATTGGGCCTTTTGTCTTCGATGAAACTGGGACCTTTTCCATATCCTGACTGTCGGACATATTACAGTGGATCTGTCTTTCCGGCGGTATTAGACCGACTCTCGTGTATCGGATCGGGTGTCCTCTATGTGCGTTTGTCGTGGCAAGGACGTTCTGTTTAATCAACTTTGGCAATACGCGTTCGGTTGCCGTGTCGATCTCCTTTATCATTCCATTTCCGTCGTTCCAAACTGCGTTGATGTACTGGCTAATCCGGTGACTCGTTGATCCTAATGGGCTTGTCATTCCCGCGATTGCCCTTTCCACTCGCATTGGGACCGCTTCATTCGGAGTTGTCAGCGCCTTATCCGAACTGGCTGGTCTGAACAACTTGGCCTCATACGAGAAACTCGGGTGCTTCTGGATAAGTTTTCCTGCGTTCCGTGCGAATTCCAATACGACGTCAAACTTCTGTTTAGTAAAGCTACGACGCTGTCTCTTCAAATACGTCTTCAGGCCTGATTTAAATTTGGATGTCACCGATGCTGTTCTTATTCGTGTGAAATTCTTCTCCGCTCCGTTATACGCTTTGATTATTTCCTCGACCGTGTTCAAATTATCATCATCTGGACCATCAAATTCTTCATCCTCTGTAAAGTCCAATTCACTCTCTCCGTCTGGTTCGGCGTAATTGATCATTGCCATTGCATCAACCTTCATGGCTGTTTTGACCTTTCCTTTCGTCTTAACGGGCTCGCTCTTTGCTTTTTGCCCTTTATCCAAGGCCTCCGCTAAGCTTCTTGGCTCAGTAATCCTTGATCGTGTCGTTTTCGAATCTGTATGTGACCTTGCACTGACCGTCGAAGTGCTTGGAAGGCTCACTTCCGATGCCTCCGATTCACGCGACGTCTCCCGTTTCGCTTTTTCGCGAGTCTGTTTATCCTTGCGCTCCTTTGGCGTGGATGCGGAGATGACAATGGGGATAGCTTGTTTCACCGCTATGACCTTTCCTTTGAGTTTTGATGGCTCTGCTGTAGCCGATTGAATAACTTTCTTTGACTTCGTAGGTGTCGATGACCTTTCTTCAACTTCGCCAACTGACTCGTCCAATATCTCGACATCATGCGACGCTGGTTCATCTCTTTTCTTCTTCCCGGTGCTTATGCTATCGCTTTCGTCACCGCTCTTCTTCTTCTTATCTTCTTCCTCCTGTCGTTTCTTCTTATCTTCTTCCTCCCGTCGTTTCTTGAGGAAATCGCCTTTCTTAACCTTGTCACGGTTCATGGCCTCTTCCAATCTGGGCGCTTTTCTCGGTTTGACTTTTGAGGGCTTGACCTTTAAGGGCTTTTTGTGCTTGTCGGCCATTTCTTCGTCTGAGCCTTCTTCCTCAGGTGGGTTATCGTCTTCCGTCTCTGGTTCGTCGTCACCAGGTGGATTACAATGGCCACAGTTTGGTTCATCACACTGAAGGTGCTCATGACTTCCTTGGGCAATCTCGAATACTCTTTGTAGAGAGCGTCTGGCCCCTCCTATTTCAGTTACATTTGCCGACGTGCCCGGCGCCTCTTCCGTCTCTCCGGCTCCGCCTTCTTGTGCCGGGGGATGAATTTCCAAGTGTCTTGTCTCTTTCGGAGATCCCTGTGAGGCGACCTCCCACAAAGGGTTCTTCTTAGCGTCGTAAAATACCGTTTTGTACGATCCGTCTTCCATTCGTCTTGTGAGTCGGAAATGTGCTCCATCGATTTCCGCCCGATGCCGCATCATGCTGATCAGTGTACTCGCTTGAACCACAGCGTCTGTTCGGTCGCTCTCAGGTATCAGATCCCATAACTGCTCAATCGCTGCCTGATTCGCGTTTCGGGCGCTCTCTTCTGACACATCCCATGGGGCATATGGAACCGGGTCTCCTGTTATTGGATCGACTATCACTGCAGTTATGGTTTCCACAGCTTCTCCATTACCACCGAAAAGTCTGAGGGTGACCTTTCTGCTTGTCGCATCTGTATATCTCAGGACCGACTCATAATCATCTGACGATCGTTTCTTCGGGTCTGGATCCGCCGTCGGTTTTGAGCGAGTTCTCTCTTTGATCAACAGTTTGCCATCCGTTGTATATGTATATGCCAAGTGGTCATCATCTGTGCCCACTTTGATACGGATCCATGCATCCTCTTCGGTTGCGACTTTAGATACCACGTGCTTCATCATCTGAACGATAACTCTCGGGTTATGACGTTCTTCTGGAGGAATAAACTGTAGCGCCTCATTGACTATCGTTTTTGACTCTTTTCCAATGGCATCCTTGACTGACCTATCCGCGAGGGGATTATACGAGTCAATCTCTTTGTTCGTTTTCTTATCGACTATTCGTGCAGTGACCTTTCGTTCTCTATGATCTTCCCCAGTGTACTTGGCCGTGAAACTTCTACACTTCGGGAATCGAATCTGACCTTCCGTTCCTTTCGGCGTGGGTGGTACACTCTTTCTACCCACTGGAATCGGGGCCTGTGGCTTTGCCGGCTCAGCTGGTGTTGCTTTGCTTTCTGTGGGCTTCTTTGTTCGCTGCCCTTTCTTATCGGTTTCTTTTGGGCTTGTCGTCGGTGACCTCACTCTTTTTCCACTCTTCGTGGTGCCACTGGATGGTTCTGTGACCGAACTAGTACGTCCACGTGCTGATCCTGCAACCGAGCTGGCCCGTGACCTTTCTGCTCGTTCCGTTAATACGGCATCAATCTTCTGCTTT